TACATAAATATGTTGCACCTATATTTGTTTAATTCCCTAAAGTTAAAAAACAAATAAAAATGGTTTAGAGCATTAGAAGCTTGAAAATAGTGAACACTTCACATGCTTTAAAAATGTAAATTATCTGTTCTATGCGAGACTTGTTGTAGTCTGTCAACACACCGTATAAATCTGACTAATGTTTAAGGAAAAGGAAAAGACAAATGCTAAAAATGTGGAAGGGATGGTGTTATTTTAGGATTTCATCTTACATGCAGGTCTGCAATTGCAGAGTGACATTGGCTTTGATGAAGCTGTCTTGAAGCTAGAATCCACAAATGTGGGCCAGTTTACAGGTCTGAGTCTTTATCAGTGTTTTTATTAACAGATGCTCCCAGATTTAAGTAATAGATTGGAGGTTTAATTACATGACTCTACGAATATGAATTGTTATTAAAATTGGCTTAGAGAAATTTAACAATGAGGTTGTAGAATAAACTTTTTAAAAATCTAAAGTTTTATATAAGGCTAGCCTGCTCTTAGGAGGTAGTATTTGTATATGAATATACAGGGAAAAAATCATTATTGTATTTTCATTGTAATTTATTGACATTTTCAACTGTTGAATTATTGAACTATTGAATGTGGCCAAGTCTCTCTTACCTTTTCCTTAGTTTTGCTTTTTCACTTTTTATTTTTTTTGTAGATCTTAGTGCATATATTCTCTCTTTCCTGTATGTGTTTTCCCTTAGTATATTTTTTCTAGGAAGTATTCACTGTGCGTATCCATTTTTCAAACTATCTGTAACAGGGGGCCTACCAGGGCCGATCGCCATGTGGCCTGCCCACCTGTTCTTGGGCTAACTGCCCGCTTTCTTGCCCACCACGCCTTGGTCTTAATTGATTAATTAATAGATGTAATTAAGTGGGAGGCTGCTCATTTTCTGCCCCACTGCGAGGAGGCGCTATCTGTGGCTCCATTCCTCCCCTACAATGCAGTCTGATGACATCATGATGTTCTCATACATGCCAGTTCCCCATGATGGGGCCCAGAATCCTACTGTAGGACCCCACCCGGGTTCCTCCCTTCAGGCGGACTCTGCCGCCATCATACTGGGCCATATATCTCCCTGCCACTGGTTCCCCTTTGGGTGTGGTCCCTTCACTGGGACCTTCGGCTCACACTAGCCCTGGCCCACCTCCAGGCCAGTTGGGACCCCAGGCCCCTGACTCTTGGGAGTCCCTCTCGGTGGGCCTCCTTGCCCTTCTGACCCTCCTGGTCCTGGCCCCCACTTGGGCCAGTCAGGGGAAGCTATGGCAGGCCTTGATGTATGACCCATACTTTTTCCCAGGGTCCCCCTCTCTGGGTCCTCCTCCACAGATGTGGGGAGCTGGGGTTACTTCACACCACAATTGGTGCCTCAGGGTCTTACTCTCCCCTACTACCGGTGTTATATTCGACCCAAACTCTGCCTCTCCACATTGGAGGACTTACTGGGGTTAGGACTCAGCTCGCTCTCTCTGGCTGAGCCCCCTCTCCCTTCTCAGGGCTCCACACACTGCCACCCTCACACTGGGGGCTCTACACACTGCCCCTCTCACACTGGGGGCTCCACACTCTTCATAACACCCCCTTTACTTGGGGTCTCGGGGCTTCCCTCCACAGGTGGGCTCAGGTGGCTGTAGCCATGCCTGGCCCCAGCTCTCCTCCTCGGGGTCTCAGACCCCCCCAGGGCTCAGGCAGCCTTGGCCACACCTGTCCTCCAACTCTCCTCCTCGGGGCTTGCGCCCCGACAACTACCTCCAGTGTACGCAACCCACCCAAAGGTGAGGGCTAGGGGTTAAGGCACCCCAACCCACCTTTCAACGGGGTGGTAACTGAACTGGCCTGGCATTTCCTGGGGGCTTCCATGCCACTGAAAGCCCCACCAGCCCACCCACTCCCAGCAGGGTGCAGTTTTTTAGGTCATCCCCAGGACCAGGAGCCTCCTACCATCCCCTACAGCTCCTCCCTTACCTCCAGATGAAACTCAGCAGCCCTCAGGCCAGGCAATGTTGTTGCCTCCCTCCAGCAGGGAAACTGGCTTGTATATATTAGCCCTGAGCCTAAAATGGCTGCCCCCACTAGGCACCTGGAGACTGCCAGCTCCATGGCCTTAAAGTGGCAGGCACACCTAGTGCCCTGCCACACTATCTAAAGGCCTGGTCCTACAGATAGACAGAATCAATGGCATGATTGGCACCAATTCTGCTAGGCAGGGTGGGAAGATACAATTGTTCGTGTGTCAATAGAAAATGGCTGTACAGTAGGAGTAGTAGAAGGTGTAGTAGAAGCAGTAGGTATAGTAGAAGTAATTTGTTACAGAGTCTGAAAAGTATATGAATAATATATATAGTATTTTTCTATTTCACAAAGCTGGTTTGAGAGAGGCAAACAATGTTATATATGTTCACCTTGAAAATGAAAATATGTACAAGTACTGAATGGCTGCTAGTGGGTTTTAGATAACATCAAGGGGACAAGCAATAATTAACCATGAACTTTAGGAAGTATCTTATATTCTCTGTAGAGAAGCTGATTGTATTAATTCTCTCAGGCTACTTCCATAGACCAGCAAAAGCAAACATTTTTACTTGACTTCTATAGCATCGTTAACATGGTAGCATAGAAGGAAGAGGGTAATTTATATGTGATCCAGCTGGTCCTTTACCAGTCCTATTTGGCTTCTCACGTGCAGTGCATTGGGTTTTTCCCTTCTACTGTTCACCAATTTGTAGAATTGTAATTTTTAGTGAGAGGAGAAAAGGAACAAAGAAAATGTATTTATCCAGAAACATAATATTAATTGGATCCTGAGGAAATAACCTGTGACCTACTGTTCAGGATAGATTCCTTAAAAAGAATTAAAGTTTGTTATGTCCCTAGGTTGTATACATTATGAATGTTGTGATATGGAGAATACTATACAGTATATTATGTTATCAACACTATTACAAGTAGACAAGCTGTTCACTGAGTGATAGAAATGGCCACAGACCAGCTGAAGGAGACCTATAGATTTTGGTGCTGCTCAGGAAGGATTATCTTTAGCAAAAATGTTCTGAATCATTTATTTGAGTAATCTGGGACTGTGGATAGAGTCATCTGAGTCATCTAGAATATTCAGGCGTATTGGTATATTCATTACCTTCACAGGGCATCTGAGCACCTTTTCTTACCGAACTTTTGTTTTCTGGCTGTGTCTTGAGAGTTTTCTGAATCTCTAAGCAATTCATCCTAAGTGCATTTCATTTCTGAGGACTACCAAACCAAATTCACTAAGATGGATTTATGGTTTTAAGTACATTTTATACATTTAAAATACCTCAACTATATTTAAAATTGCATTCAGTATTAAATCATAAGAAGCTCCCTAGTTAAGGTTGTAGTACACACGTGTCATAACACACCTCAATCTCCCTAGTTCTCCATATTCTGTACCCACATCAGATGTTTTTACTAGTGTAAGATAAAATGTAAGGGCATTGCTACACATTGCACTTTGAACTGCTCAAGTGTTGACCAGTGTTAGTGCTAGTCTGAGTCTGGAGCAGTCACATATTAAGGCTAAAATCCTTCTTCAAAACTGTTCTCCACCTGCACATCTGTGACTTGCCACTAGAGGGCTGGTGAGCCGGGACAGACTTCTATCCTGCTCTAGCCGGGTGGGGTGGGGAGTGTAAGAGTTGGGTTGGGGGGAACAGGAACATGAAGGTGGGAGGCAGAGAGTTAAAGTGGGATAGGGGTGGGTAAGAAAATGGGAGGTGGAAACGAAATGTGGATGGGGGAAGTGCGGTGAGATGAAGGAAGAAAGCAGCTTCTGAAGGATAAAATAAAAAGAGGCAAACAAAGAATTTAAAAAGAAACAAAGAGGTAAATTAAAGAAAGTCTCATATTGTAATAAATTGGGATTGGGGTATAGGGGATGCTGGTCTTGCTTTCTGGGGTGGCTGGTGGGTAGGAGTGATGAGATAATGCACGTTTTGGGGAAGTTACTGCACCTGCCCCAGGAAGGAAACTCCAGGTCATGGGGACCTGGTCTGACTCCCTACCTTGTTTCTGTTTTCTTTATCCCCATAGACTTCATTCCTGGACCCTTCTGTGCCGTGGCTATCTGGCACATTTTGGTTTATTTGCACAGGGTTGCACCCCTGGGGATGGGAAGGTCACACCCCAGGGGTCAGGATGGCAGTTGACTTGGTGCCAGAACTGCCCTCTGGCAGTACAGTTCAGGGGGTGGAAAGTTTGTCCACAAAGAACAGGAGGGTGGGGGAGAGGATGCCGTATACTGGGATGCTGGCATACTGCAACTTGGGCAGTTCATCTGTAGGGAATGGCCACACATTAATGGAACATGAGTTGGTAACATGGATCAGAGATAAACCTGTCCTGGAGTGCCATAACTGAAGCAGCCTAAAGCATGCTTAAAACTAGTTTCAGGTGTTAACGTGTGGACAATCCAGAGGTTAAGAGCTCCAGGAGTTACCTAAAATTAATGTGTAACAAGCCTCTAAGTCTGCTATTGTCTGGTGAACTTAGAACATAAAACAACCAATGTGAAATATTTCAGACTGAAAGGAGATGTTTTGGGAGAAAAAATTGTGGTTTGTCAAGATCAGTTTATAATGGAAACAATGTCCAGTTCTGAACTCTGGAGTTACTAGAACAGACTCATGACTTCTGCAGCATAAATGGTACAGAAAGTATTTACAGATTGTACCTTTACATGGGATTAGTTGAATGGCTGTCTGCTAAATTGCATTAGTTTTTTGGTTTGTATAAATGTTGTTTGTGACTAGATGGTTGGTTGGTTGGCAACTTAATCTTTTCTTAGCTCTTAAGAACTTTATTACCAGGAAAAAATACTGGTAATAACCCCCTCCCTGCCACTGCTTATACTAACTCCTGTGATTTTTTTTTTCTATTAACGAAATGTTTGCTTGATTTGAAGAATGTGAAACATATAGTGCTGGCTTTTCAGGTAGAAGAATTGATGAATGCACTGGAAAAGACCAGGCAAGAACTGGATTCTACCAAAGCTCGCCTTGCATCAACACAGCAGTCTCTGGCTGAGAAGGAAGCACATCTGGCCAACCTAAGAATAGAGCGGAGAAAACAGCTTGAAGAAATACTGGAAATGAAGTGAGTATATATTTCTCTTGATTCTATAAAACTCAAGAAATGATTATTCCAGTACAATATCAATTTTTACAGATATAAATACTATATTGAGAACAGTGAATCTGAGGACTCCTTAGAAGTGAGTTCTGGTTAGTTTCCTTGAAAATACAGAAAAACAAGACATACTTTTTGCATTCAGAAGCCTTGTTAAGCCAAGAAAACACCCACAATTAGAATTTTTGAAAAACTATTATTTTATAACTTTTATTTCCCCTGTGTTAGATACTAGTAAAGGATTAGCACAGTTTAATTTTAATTGGAAGCTTCTCAAACATTTTCTAAGAAGAATATTTATTCATTATCAGTATTTTAAATTTCCATAAGGTTTTGCTACATTCTGGTGTGAAAAGCATTTATCTGTAGGACAAAAGAGATTTGCCTTCCTTCATGCACAGAAGTTATACTCTCATATTTTGGTAAGTATCTTGAGAAAATCTATGTTGGGTTTTCCATTAGTGATGTCACATAGGAGGAAAATGGACAGTTTCATGTAGATGTTGCAAAGTTTACTAACCTGAATTGGTACAAAAACTATACAACACTATTACTATATATAAAGTTGAAGAAACCAAAAAGGTACAGAGGCCTATAATTTCAATCTAGCTTCCTCCCCACAATAAAGGAAAATGTGTGTAATTATAGTGCAGTAAGGCTGTGACACAATCTTTGAAACTGGTGTTTGCTAGAGAAGAATGACCATGTTATAACTTGGCCAGGCTGTTAAGTATGTAGTGTATATTAAATATAGCAAATTCAAAGAACCGTCATTTTGCAAGTGTTTTGTTTGTTTGTTTGTTTGTTTGTTTATTTATTTAGGCCAGTTCTAATTTTCAGTTTTTACCAGCCATCTTGCTGTATGGGGCTCATGTCCACATACGTGTAAATAATCTTACAAAGGATTATTTATATACTGTTGGTCAAAAGAAATGGACATATACGGAGTACAGACACAGGCACATGTATTGCATAATTCTGCAAAAATAAACAGGCTTAAGGGATGTCATATAAGAAGAAGATTGTATTATAAATATCTAGGTGAATTTCTGGTTCTAATAAATCATAGAAAATTAGGGTTGGAAGGTCAAAAGGTCATTGGGTGCCATACATGAGCAGGGAGGCTGCTCCAACGCACTGTAATTCCAGCACATTAGAGCAGACTCAGTTAATCGAGTCTGCTATAGTGTGGCAATTACTGCATTCCAGCAGCCTCCTGTGTCTCATGTATCAACACCCCCCATGCTTCAAAATGGCAGTGCAGGGCACTTTATCTAAAGCTTGTTCAATGAGCTTTAGAGAAAACACCCCCACCTTCATTTTGAAGTGTGGAGATGCTGATATACAAGACGTTCTGGGCACTCTAATCAAGTCCATCAAGTCCAACCCCCTGTTCAAAGCAGGGCCAGCTGCAGCTAGATGATCCGAGTCAAAACTTTGTCTATCCAGGTCTTAAAAATGTCCAAAGATGGAGAGTCTACAGCCTCTCTTGATAGCCTGCTCCAGTGCTTTACTACCTTGCCTGTGAGAGTTTTTCTTAATATCTAACTTAAACTTCCCTTGCTTCATCTTGAGACTATTGCTCCTTGTTTTGTCATCTGTTACTGCTGAGAACAGTCTAGCTCCATTCTCTTTGTAACCACCCTTCATGTAGCTGAAGTCTGTTCTTAAATCCCCCCCTCAGTCTTCTTTTCTGCAGACTAAATAAACCCAGTTCCCTCAGCTTCTCCTCATAAGTTGTGTGTCTTAGCCCCCTAACCATTTTTGTTACTCTCTTCAGGACCCTGTAATTTGTCCATGTCCTTTCTATAGTGGGAAGTCCAAACTGGACTCAGTACTCAATTTGTGGCCTTACCAGTGCCAAATAGAGAGGAATAATCACTACCCTGGCTGGCACCAGTCATACAAATGCAGCCCGGTAAGCCTTCACAACAAGGGCACAATGTTGGCTTATATTCAATTTATCGTCCATTGCAACCTCCATGTCCTTTTCGGCAGAGCTGCTGCTTAGCCAGTCTGTCCCCAGTCTGTATCAGTACATAGGATTGTTCTGTCCTAAGTTTGGCACTTGTCCTTATTGAACTTCATGTGATTTCTTGTGGTCCAGTCCTCCAATTTGGATCATTCTGAATCCTAGTTGTACCCTCCAGTATATTGCACCCGTCTTGGTGTGAGCCACAAACTTGGTGAGGGTGCATGCCATTCCATCTTCCAGATCACTGATGAAGATACTGACCAAACTGGCCTCCAGACTGACCCCTGGGGCACTCCACTTGATACTTGCTGCCAACTAGACATCAAGCCACCTTTTGAGCCTGATGATCCAGCCAGCTTTCTGTCCATCTTACAGTCTGTTCATCCAACCTGTGCTTCCTTAGCTTGCTTGCAAGAATATTGTGGGTGACCATATCAAATCTTTGCTAAAGTTAAAGTATATTATGTCCACTGCTCTCCTCACATCTGCAGAGCCAGTCATCTCATCATAGAAGGCAATCAGATTGGTCAGCATGATTTGCCCCTTGGTGAATCCATGCTGACTGTTTCTAATCACCTTGTTCTCCTCTAAGTGCTTAGAAATTGACTTTTTAAGGACCTTCTTCATGATTTTTCCAGGGACTGGGGTGAGGCTGACTGGTCTGTAGTTCCCCAGATCCTACTTCTTTCTTTTTTTAAAGGTGGGCATATTTGCCCTTTTCCAATCATCTGACACCTCTCCCTATTGCCATGAGGTTTCAAAGATAATGGCCAGCAGCTATGCAATCACATTGGCCAACTCCCTCAACACCCTGAGGTACATGTGCAGGCCCATGGATTTGTATATGTCCACTTTTCTAAATAATCCCTAACCTAGAGGTTGCCTCCCCCATTCATTAATGGACCCACACTTTCCCTCATCTTCCTCTTGCTACTGACATACTTGTAGAAACCATTTTTGTTACCTTTCACCATTTTTGCTACCCTCCAGTTGTTAGCTGCAACTCTAGTTGTGCTTTGGCCATCCTGATTTCATCCCTGCATGCCCAAGCCAATACTCTTATCCTCCTCCCTGATAGTTCATCCAAGTTTCCACTTCTTGTGAGCTTCCTCTTTGTGTTTTAGCTCATTGAAGTGTCCCCTGCTAAGCCAAGCTGGTTTTCTACCATACTTGTGAGTCATTGTACACTGGGATGGTTCATTTCTGTGCCCCTGCCCCTAATAAGATTTCTTTAAAGTACAATGAGCTCTCCTGGACTCCTTTCCACCTCAGACAGGCCTCCCAAATGAACCTTTCCATCAGTTCCCTGAATGAGTCAGAGTCTACTTTTCTGAAGATCAGGGTCCTTACTCTGCTGCTCTTTATCCGTCCTTTCCTCAGGATCCTGAATGCAATAATCTTGTGGTCACTGCTGCCCAAGTTGCCGTACACTTTCTGTATTCCCCACCAAATCTTCCCTGTTTGTGAGCAGCAGATCAAGGGCAGCAGCAGATCAAGAAGGGCCTCTAGTTGGCCTCTCTAACACTTTCACCAGGAAGTTGTCCATAGCACTCTTCAAAGATGTCCTGGGTTGTCTGTGCACTCCTGTATTGCTTCCCAGCAGATGTCAGGGTGATTGAAGTTCCCATGAGAACCAGAGCCTGTGATCTGGAAACTTCCACTAGCTGTTTGAAGAAAGCCTCATCTACCTCATCCTTCTGGTCTGGTGGTCTATAGCAGACGCCCACCACAACATCATCCTTGTTGCTCCCTACTCTTACCCTAACCCAGAGAAATTCAACAGGCCTGAGCAAGCATACAGCTCTTTTACATAAAGTGCAACTCTTCCTCTTCTCCCCTGCCTGTCCTTCCTGAACAGTTTGTACCTATCCATTACAATGCGCCAGTCATGTGAGCTATCCCACCAAGTATCTGTTATTCCAACCACATCATAGTTTCAGTTCTTTCTGCTTGTTTTCCAGGCTCCATGCATTCATGTACAGACATCTGAGGTAATTAGCCCTACTTTCTCAGGAAGAATGAGAAAGTGTCCCCTGTTGCCCCTTCCTGCTGGGCTTCCTCCGGGTCACTTACCTACTTACCTCAAGACTTTGGTCTCCATCCTCTGGTGAACCTAGTTTAAAGTTCTGCTCACTAGGTTAGCAAACTTGTCTAGTGAGAAGGGCTTTAAAGTAGGTTATGTAGGCTTTAAACTTTAAATCGATGAGAGTTTTATCATTGACTTCTTTAAGGCCAGAAATGAATCCTAGCCATATGAAAAAGATGTACCTGGGATATCACTGCCAATATTGTATACAGTTTAATAATCATACAGGGATTCAAATACATTAAATACCTTTTATTAAGCTTTTAGAGTTATTTTCTCTTATATATATGAAGTTGTTATCCAGCTATTTAGTCGCGTGTTAAAAATTGGGTGTTTAATGCCAATCCTTCATGTATCAGCTTGTCTTGATGATATCTATTGTATTAAGTGTAAAAGTTCTGCTTCCAATAGAAAGAATGATTTGCTTTATAACTGCCCACATACATCAATTACTGGGTAAAATGGAGGAGAAAAATATTTATGGCTTGTTTTAGCAGTTTCTGTGAAATGGAAAGACTAGGATGTATGGCCCTTGAAGACGCATACTGTATAACTTCATAATTCTGGCATCCTTGGGACCAAGCATTTGCTGGAAATTTGAAAATTCCAAATTTTTGAAACTAGAGCAGTGGCTGGTTGTGGGGGAGGTGGTAGGGGATAGCGGCAGCCAGTCCTGGAGCAGTGGCTGCATGCGGAACGGGGTGGTGGATGGCGGCAGCAACCACCATCTGCAAGCTTCCCCCTCCGCATCTGGAAGGGTGGATGGAGCAGCGGCCAGTCCCGGAGCAACGGCCACAAGCAGAGCAGCAGCATGGGGTGGTGGATGGCGGCAGCAACCACCATCTGCAAGCTTCCCCCTCCGCATCCGGAAGGGTGGATGGAGCAGCGGCCAGTCCCGGAGCAACG